TCATTCTGTTCTGGTTGGATGTTTATTTCTTCCTTTTCCAAATCGTTGACTTGAGTCCTGGTTTCCTTCCCTCCACTGTTGGTTCCCTGTATATTTTCCTTTATTTCACTTTGTATAGCCTTCATTTCTTTCTTCATTTTTGTGACTGAACTCAGTCAATTCTGTGAGCATCCTGATTACCAGTGTTTTGAACTCTGCATCTTATAGGTTGTTTATCTTCTCATCACTTAGTTCTTTTTCTGGAGTTTTGATCTTTTCTTACATTCGGACCATATTCTTTAGTCTGGGCGTGCCTGGGCATTGTAAGGGGTGGAGCCTTAGCTATTCACCAGGGCAGGGCAACCGACTTCGCTGTGTTGTGGCACTGTCTGTGGGGGAGGGGTCAGAGAGGGAAAAATGCTGCTTTCTCAGCTCTTGCCCTGCTTCCCATCACTTCCCTTGCTTCCCACAAGCAGATTGTGCCCTTTCAGGTGCTGATTCCTGGGTGGGTGGGTGTGTATACACGCCAGGACCCTGTGGGTCTCTGCAACAGACTCTCCTGTGGGGCTGAGAATTTCTCCCACCACCACAACCCCCACAGGATTTTACAGCCAGAGGTTTGGAGCCTTTAGTTTCCCATACTGAAACCCTGGATTTTACAGTCTGTCTTGCTCCCCAGTTGTTCCTCCCAGCTTATCTGCGCACGAATATGGAATATCCCATTCCCCAGCCCCCACCTCGCCCACGAGGTCCGCCAGCTGCCGCCTTGCCGCATGTTCTCCACCCTGGCGGACCACCTCTGCCCTTCCTACCAGTCTGGATGAATGCTTCTTTAACACCTTGGTTGTCGGTCTCCCATGCAGTTTGATTTTATGGCAGTTCTGCTTGTTTTTTGTTTTTAAATTGGTTATTATCCTTCTTTTGGGTTGTGCAAGGAAGTGGAGCATTTCTACCTACACCTCCATCTTGGCCAGAACTCTAATTCTCTCCTTTACTCTTGATGTAATGAATGGGCTCCCAGGACAGAAAATGCATGTGCTTACTCTTCCATCTTCCACAGGAAGGCCTCTTCTTGGTTCATGATGGTGCACCTGGGGCAAGTGTACCTGGGATGGGCCATGAAGGACTGAGCTCATAATGCCAGCAGCCAGGCCAGGCAAACAGCATGCCCAGATAGGAGTGGGTAAGAAGCTTTCCCTCCAACAGAAGGAGATCAAAAGGAGCCCACCATGTGGAGTGAGGTGTACAGACTCTAGGTGACTCTGGCCCATCACTGTCCCCCTCAGACTCCTTCCACCGAGAGTAAAATGAAGGGCCAGGTCTGATTTGCACCCTCTCCCCCTTTCCAAAGTAGGTCATCCAGGACAGCCAGGTGGCATCCCAGGCTGAGACTCTCAGTAATTTGATGGGGAATGGTCAGGCAGCTGGAGTTCTTGGGCTCTTCAAATCCTGGCAGAGAGCCATGTCAGGTCCAGAACATGCTGGATGGAAACCCTTGAGAGCTGTCTGGGGAAGAGACTGGAGAAGGGCTGAGACCCTCCATACTCATCTACCTCAAAGTCCAGGGGGCTCTAGTCTCAGGCATGGCTGGACCCAAGGACCTCAAGAGATATTACCATGCCTCCATCTCCCAACCCTGCTTTCTTATGTACTGAAAGAGACCTTCTCTCCTGGTGCCCCCATAAGCTCCAGGCTTGGTCTATCCAACATCTCAGCAATCCCAGTAAGAAAGAGTGCATGGACCAGGTTGGGTCAGTTGCCTTTCTCTGGCCAAAGGGGATGGAACAGAGCTCTGTTGGCCAGGCCTGGGTCACATAGCTACTCCCACTATTGGAGTCAGCCACCCCCAGAAGGATGCTGCACAGGGAGAAGCAACAGGAACCCATGCGTGTTTGCTAAGAGTCTCTTACCTCTTGACCTAGGTCCCTATGAGCAGAGCAAGGTGAGGAAGAGCTGGGCCTGGAATCAGGAGACCAGAGCTCGAGTCTTGACTCTGAGCTTTAATTCCGTGTCTAACCTCAGGCAGGTCACTGGCCCACTTCGCACCTTCACTTCACTTGTCCAATGGCTATCCCTGCCCCTTCAGAGGCTGTGGATGGAAAGGGCTGGGCCAGGAGCAGAAAGTGGCATCTTTGCAAGGGCTGTTCCAACCAGTCCTCCTGCCTCTTAGAAGCAGGTAATTAGCAAGTCTGGCCTGGACTTTGGGTGACAAAGTACCACCTTCCCCACCTCCACGTGCTCAGTGCTTGGTCATACCTCTAGGCTTTGGCTCAAGCTCTTCCATCTGCCTGAATGACTGCTGCACCTAACAATTCCTGTTCATTTTTCAACATCTACACAATTTTTGACAAACGTCACGTCTTCCCTGTAGCCCCCACTCACCTCCTCTGATCCCCCTCGTGACTCCCATCAGTGGTGTCCCAGGGCTGGGTCATACCAGCTAGGACAGTCACTGGTACACACCTCTTCTCCCCAATCCCATGTTTAGAGTCATTAAGTTGGTACTCAAAATTGGCCATAGAGGAAGTATTTACACCATGGAAATAAGCAAACACTACCAATCAGGCTTTATTGAGTGCCTACAGTGTACCAGAATGAGGATAAAGCAGTAAACAAAATAAAGTTGTTGCCTTCGTGGAGCTTCTCTTTGATCTATCGTCTTTGTCTCTAGCATCTGTTTATCTCCATCCATCCATCAAACCATCCGTCCTTCAAGTTTTTGCCATCTGCCTATCCACCCACTTATCCATCCATCCACCCACCAATGTACCTACTGGCCCAGTCATTCATCTGCCCAACTCCTACAAATCCATCCTCCCGGGAGGGCCAGTGCTTGCCTTTGTTTTGCACCCATGGTTATGACTGGGCCCCTTCAAAGATAAAGCCAGTCAAGAGCTGTGTCCGGCCCAGGCCAGAGCCTCCACCGAACCCCAGGCCTGGCATCAGTCAATCTCCCAGGAGGTCCCCTCCTCCCCTAACATACAGTGCTGTGTGTGGTGAGCTGAGCTGCTGCCCTAGGGAGCCTGTGGCCCGGGTGGCTCCTGGAACCTCTTTCTCCCAACAGAGTGTAAAAAACACAGCACACCTTGGCAAAAGTGTCTCCAAGGTGATGATGGGGTGGTGAAGGCTGTTCACACATGCAGGCGCTGTGGTTTCACACTCGTGCTGCCATCTGAGCTGCATACAACCTAATGCAATATAACAGTGCCACTATTAAAACCATCAATGTTCTAGAGCTTTCCACACCAAGGACTCACATATTCTCTAGTGACTTTCAACTTTTCCCAACCACCCAATTTTACAGATGAGTCACAGAGAAACTTTCAGCTGGACCAACTACAAGCTCAGACTCATCCAAAAGGAGAGACAAGCCAGAGCTGTCTCCTTCAAGCATCACCCTGCAGTCTGGCCTCTGGGAAGGGTAACAGATGGGGTTCTGGTCCAGGGTGGGGATTCCCCTCAGCACCCTGAGAGCAGGCCTCTGAATCAGACTCCCCGCCACATTTACCCAGCTCGGTGATCATGAAAAGCCACCTCTAAAGGTCAATACCTTTAGGGGAAAAACTATTTTCTTTCTTTTTTTCAAGTGAGTTGTGTGCAATATGTAGCATTTATATCTACCTCCTGTGCAAAGCTGATGTTTAGTAAGGTGCCTTCAAAACATCGCCAAGGACTATTTTCTTGACTTCTTTTATTTATTTATTTTTATCCTCACCCAAAGACTTTTAAAAAATTGCTTTTAGAGAAAGAGGAAGGGAGAGAGAGAAACGTTAATGCCAGAGGGAGAAGCATCAATTGGTTACTTCCCCTGTGTACCTGGACAGGGCATTGTACATACCCTGGACAAAGGATCGAACCTGCAGCCTAGGCATGTGCTGAGACCAGGAACTGCACCCTCAGCCCTTTGGTTACCTGATGACACTCCAACCAATTGAGCCGCACCAGCCAGGGCTTTTCTTAGCTTCTTAATTCAAATTTCAACAGACTCTGACAAATCGTCACTAAGAACTTGACTTCCCCCTAACTCTCCAAGATGAGTAAAAAAGATGTCAGGGGAGCGGGAGTGCTGTGTCTGTCATTTCAGCCAGTTCCTGCGTGCCCCATCCCTACCCTGAGGGCCAGTGGGATCACGGGGGCCTTGTGGTCCCCAACCTGTACCCAAACAATCTCTACGCAAAGCCCAGCACATACTATGCTCAATAAATATTTCTTGGGTGTATAAAGGAAATTTACAAATGGGCAGAAGGAACCAGAAAAATAATTTTTGATTGGTAGGAGGCTGTCTTAAGAGACAAGGCTGACTGATTTTAAGCCTGGAAACACCCCCAAGTGTCCCTCTGCAGGGTGGGGACAGCCCACAGGCCCGGTGCTGTGGCTGCTTTCTTGCCCCCACCCACCTCCAGCACAAGCTTTGTCCCACCGCAGAAGGAAGGAAGCTGACGTTTATTGAGGGTCTGCTCTGGGTTGCACACCAGGTCGGCTCTTCACTGATCTCCCCCCAAGCCCAGTGGTGCCATCCACAATGTCCAGGCAGGAAATCCCAGCCCAAAGGGGAGGAGCAACTTGTCCGAGGTGACATAGCTAGGAGATGTCAGAGTCAAGACTCACTCCTAGGTACACGTTTCATGCTGTTCCCCTCAAATCTTCCCACCCCTGGAAGGTGATAAGGAACAGTATGGACTTTTGGCTCCTGGAGACACACGACCAGGAAGGCAGGCAGCGTCCTGGTCCGGGGAGGCCCTGTGAGCAGCACTGGACCAGACTCTCAGCATGTGAGCCGGGGCCACCCCATGTGCCTGGCAGGGAGGGAGACTGTCACCGTGTGCACATAGGCACGCGTGCTGTTCACACACGCAGACACACCAGTGTGCTCCTGAGCCCCACACACGCACATAATAAACTTCAGGCTCAGGGCCCCATCGAGGAGACCAAAGGCTGCAGGCCTCTGCACACCACAGCCCGCGTGACCCTGTCTTCACGGCCCAGTGGCACAGCCAGTTCTGAAGAGCCATTTGGCCTCACTAGCTGGCCTGGGGTCCGGGTCCTGCAGGTGGAGGGGCCATCACCACCCATTGTCGGACATAGCTCCTTGGGGGCCCCTCGTCCCTGGGGCCGGTGAAGTCACACTCCACAGGGCTGCCACAGTCAGAGCCTGCGAAGCCGCTGTCAAACGTGTCCATGTCCAGGCCAGCGGGAGGTGAGCCCTCCTCACTGTCAGACACCCCTCTGGACAGCCCACCGCACCAAGGTGGCCCTGGCACCCAACCAGCCTCATTTTCCAAGGGCAGCTTTAGTTTGTCGAAGAGGCTGCCCAGGGGGCCCCCAAGCCTAGCAGGGCCACCAGATGCAACGCAGCCACAAGACAGGACTGTGGCATCAGTGTGTAAGAGCGGGTCCTCTGCATCCAGGCCAGGCTCCAGGCACGTGTCCAGATTCAAGGCTGGATAGCCATCTTCCCCACAGGTACAGGGACAGGTGCATGGCTCCTCTGCATTCACCACAGTCACTGTGTCGATGGATACCAGGCCATATGGCCGGTCTCCCTCCTGGCTGTAAGCTGAGCTGCCCAAGCTGCCTGCGGTGGAGGGGCCGGGCCCCCAGCAGTCCAGCTCGGGCACCTTGTCGGCTTCCAGCAGATCCACAGGCTCTGGCAGCACCGTGGTCATCAGCCCCGGGGCTGCGCCCAGCGGTGGGCAGCAGCTGTCCGTCTCCAGGGTCGAGAGCACCTCTGGGCTCCAGGGGCCCAGCTGCAGGCTGGAGGCAGTGAAGGGTGTGCCCACCCACTTCTGTGAGAGAGAACAGGGAGGAGGAGTCAGGGACGGGACGGGGGCCAGGTGGGCTATAAACTCAGACCAGGGGTGGCTCGCCGGCCCGGGGTCTGTGTGCGTGCAGGGCCAAAACTCCCCAGCTAGTGACATGGGGGCAGGGGCGTCTGAGGTCCGAGTGATAGAGCCCCCACCTGGTCCCCTGTTGTATTTCCTCCAGATATTTCTCGAAACCCAGCACTTTCTTGTTTGTATCCAACTACAGTGGACGCTCGGCCAGGAGAGAAGCCCTGGTTCTTCTGGCCACAGCTACCTCCCCAGAGGCTCACACGCTGCCCAGCACACAGTAAGTGGCCAACAAATGTTTATTAACTAGATGAATGAGCAGAGTGTATCAATGACAGGTACTTGGAACGTTCTCTGTGTGCATGGTGGATAAGGGCCGTGGGGTCATGATGGACCGAGGCAGCAGCCCCTAAGTGTTGAGAATCCCCCTTGTGATACAGGGTCTCTATCCAATCAGCAGAGGGAATCCCTGAGAACAGGAATCTCCCAGACTGGAGCCTATCACCCTTGAAAAGCTCACCTAAGAACCCCAGTGTGGCCACCACCACTGATTTGAAGTCATTTCTCAGCTGTGTGGCCTTGAGCCACTTACCCTCTCTGTGCCTCAGTTTCCTCATCTGTAAAGTGGGCCTGCTAATAGTACCCACTCCACAGAGTTGCTGCGAGGATTAAATGAGTTAATATCTGGAGGCTCCTAGCCGAGCGCCCGGGATACAGCGAGTGCTTTATGAGTAATGGTAAATGAATACAAAGCAGTCGTGATGTTTGAGCTTCTTGGAAGGTGCAGAGAAAAGAGGAAAGGGCCCGTCCCACGTGGGCTGGAATCCACGCTCCGCCCCTGACCCACTACAGCCACTGCTCTGATCGGAGCCTGCGTCTCTCACGGGTCCCTTGGGGACGACTACGAAGCACTCAGCACGGCTCCAGACAGACAGCAGACGCTCAATCAAGGCTCTAGTCCACATTTCCTGACTTCCAGGCTCGCCTGGAGCAGCTGGGCGGCCCCTCCTGCCCTCACCACATCCTCTCTGTGGGAGGGCCCCTCCTTCCCCCACTGGGTGGGTGTTGAGCCGTAAATGGGCCCAGAGAACCCGTGGGCGCCAGTGGCGGCGGCTGTGGTTGAAGCTTGGGGCGGGGGGGGGGGGGGGTATATTTTGCAGGCGGGTCCATACACTTCCCAGAACCTGGTCCCTCTCCACCCCCACAACAAGGGCATCTAAGGACCAGGAAGCCTACCTGTGGCCCAAGGCCCCACCCCTCCCCCAGTTTGTTCCTTGGGCTGGAAAAGGCTGTTTAATTCTGTCCCCCCCGCCCCAATTACTCCTGCACTTTGCAGACACCAAGACCGAGGTCTGGCTCCTGGCCCGGCTGGGCCTGCAGGCTGTGGCTGGGGGGTAGGTGGGCTCCCAGAGAGGGTAAGAGGCTTCAAAGGGCTTGACACTGAGCAGGGGCTCTCACCTTGAAGTTTCCGCTGTGGCCCACATACAGGTGCTGGAAGAATGACTCTGGGCTGGGCACCTGCACCCACACCTTCCACAGCCTGGGAGGGTAGAGAAAAGGTGAGCCCACCAGATGTCCCAGACGGCAGCCCAGCGTCCCACACAGATGCTCCCCAGCTTTGTCCTGCAGGAGACTGAGTGGCTCCAAAGACACACCCAGATACCTCCTTTCCAGCCTGCCCCTAACTCCCTGCCTGCTCTGGGTCTCAACGTCCACAGTGTAAACTGAGGACAATAAGTCTCCCAAGGCTCGGCTGCCTATTGTGCACCGGGCAAATGCTGCCCTTCTGAGCCTCGGCTTTCCTCTCTAGGACCGGGGTGGGCAAAGAACCAGTGGGTGCACCCAGCGACCAGCCCCAAGAGCGCGCCTGATAGCCATGGTGCCCCCCAGCTTCTCGGGCTCCGTCTCTGGATGGAGATGAACAGAATGAGCCTGCGCCTGACGAGGGCTCGGCACACGGCAGCTGTGATCCAGCCGCAGCCAGCAGCACTCACGGAGGCCAGGGGAGCTTCTGGTTCATTTTTAATCAGCAGCACCCTCTCTCTGAATGACTGTGTTCAGAGGAAATCAATATATACACACATAAAAAGAAGAGATAGAGGTGGGTTATCACACCCACCCTTCACCCCACTTGAAGGTCCCTCATTCCCCTCAGGACTCAAAGCTTAAAATTCACTGGACACAGTCACGGCGAAGGCCGCTGGGGCACAGGGTTCAAAGCCCATCTCTTTTATTTTATAGCCATGCAATTTGGGGCAAGTTCTTTGACGACTCTGTGCCTCAGTTTCCCAGTTTGCCAAGTGGAGGTAATTGCTGTGCATCAAGTTCACAGGGCTGCTGTGAGGGCCAAGGGAGCGCTCTGCACAGCGCCCAGCACGTAGGAAACACAGAGCTGGTCGCTATCGCCACCACTGTCTCTCTCACTGTCATGATGTCAGGTGTGTCCCTAGCCCTGGATGAGTCAGAGAGAGGCTGTGGCCCCGGTTGACCCCTCCCCCACACCCCTGAATCCCGGGCCTCACCTCCAAGGCAGGCGGATCTTCAGACCTAAGTAGACAAGGACGGGGAGAGTGATGACCAGGAAGAGATACAGCAGGTCAGGGTACAAGCCTCCTTTTATCCCTGGGAAAGAACCAAACGCTGTGTCAAACTGAGTCTACCTCTGCTAGAGGCCAGGTGGGGTGGGTGTGGCGGGCAACGCATCTGGGGTGGAGTGGAGGAGAGCGGGGGAGCCTACTGGTGCCTTGGAGTACAATGGATGAGGGTTCAAATCCTGCTTTCACCCTCACCCCAGGAAAGTGGCCTTATCTTGATGAGCCTGTTTCATCCTCAAAGTGGGGATAATGACGCTTACCCCGCAGAGCTATTAGGAGTACGCACACCCTGCCAGGAGAAGCACTGGGTATCCCAGGCAGGGCCTGGCAAACAGGAGCTCCAGAAATGTCAAATGGCTGCAAGTTGGAGAGACTCAGCTGACTGGACACCTTCCAATCACGCTGGAAATCTCGGCTCAGGACAAGGTTTGGCACAAAGAGTGGGGCGTCCACCCCAGCTTCACACCTACCATCCCTCTGGGTGTGAAAGATGACGGGGTCACTCCACTCACTCCAGGTCCCCTGGAAGTAGGAGCCAGGCTGGGGCCCTGCTCGCACCTGCAGCTCATAGACGGAGCCTTTGTGGAACTCCAAGGGAAGGAGGGAGACGCTTCTTGAATCCACTGAGATCAGCTTTCTCCCTGGACTCTGCTGGCAAAGGACAAGGATGCACTGGGTCAGGGGCCAACCGGGCACCCACCCTTCGCCCCACTTGAAGGTCCCTCATTCCCCTTAGGACTCAAAGCTTAAAATTCACTGGACACAGTCACAGCCAAGGCCGCTGGAGCACAGGGTTCAAAGTCCATCTCTTTTATTTTCTAGCCATGCAATTTATAGCCTCCCGCAGAACACCATTTGCCAGCCTCCCTGAGAGAGGGTGGATTTTCCTGCAGGGCCTCCACTCCCCTGATGAGAGCCAGACCCCAGCTTGGCTTCTGGCCACGCAGCGTGGGCAGCATGGAGCCATGGGCGCTCTCCGCCTTGCCTATGATACAAAGCTTCGTTCCGTTTCTCTCTGGCCCCAAGGGAGGGGACCCACCCTGCTGGGACCGGGATGTCCTGGGAGCAGAGATGGCCCCTCCTGGTGATGTTTGGCAGCATTCTGGACAGTGGACACTGAGAATTCTTCAGCAATGGGTGTTCTCAATAATGGTCATTCGAAAGCCTTCGCTAGGGGTTGCGTCTTAGCAACAGACGCCTCTGAGAGTCTTCCCCTGGGGACCTTCTAAAGGGTAGGTAATTCTAGAACTCTCCTAAATAGTGGGCCATTCTGGGCCTCTCTGACACTGTAAACAAAGGACACCTCTAGAGGTTTCACATTTGAAACCATGGTCCTTCTAAAACTGGGAGGGCTCCCAATGGCCCCATTTCTGCAACTTCTTCTCCTATCACTAGACTCGAGGTGAAACCTGAGGAAGCGCCAATTCCTTCCTTTTTGGCATGCTCATAGGGGAGGGACAGGGACAGGAAGGAGACACTTCATAGGGGTTTCCTACCCCAGGGGTAAGTGAAGAGACGGCAGCACAAAAAAGAAGTGAGAGTGTAAGGGGGCACGTCCGTCCTTGGTGTGGCCTTGGTTGCCATTCCTGACTGTGGATGACAAGTTCCCCTGTCACTCAGGTACTCCTCTCCCCCACCTGGGGGTGCTGCACTGCCCACCAGCCCGCCCCCAATTTTCTGCAGTCTCACCAGGCTCCAGGGGTCTCCCCGCTTCCGGTACTGCAGCTCGTACTGAAGTTTGCCCGCGAGCGGGTACGAATCATAACTGGAGCTCCAGGAGATGTTATAATGCTCCAAGAAGGTCACAGTCACGTTGAAAGGAGGAGATGGTTTGACTTAAAGAAAAAAAAGCCAGAAAGGTAAAATGGGGTGAGATTTTGTAACTGCTGAGAAAGATTTGGTGGCCCATCTTTTATGTGATCAGGATTAGTAACCCCAAGTGACTTTGGGTGAAGCACCTCCCGCCTCTGAGCCTCAGTTTCTTTACCTGAAGAATGAGACACTCGGACTAGAGTGAGGCTGCAAACCGGGGGAGGGGGCAGGGGGCAGGTGACGGAAATGAGTGAGGCCGCTTTGGGGACTGAACTAGGCAAGGCCCTCCCAGGCTAAAGGGGGAGGGAGGACGCAGGCCCGGCCCGCAGTGGCCAGGCAGGAATGTGGACCCAGGTAGCCAGGAAGAAAAACCCTGGAAATCCATATCTTTGTGGGAAATCTCTCAAATGTTAGTTAGCGACTAATCCCAAAACTTCTAAGCTGCCTGTCGGCGAGACCCACAGGTCCTCTATTTCTGCCTTTTTAAAAAAGATTTTAAGTATTTATTTTGAGAGAGAGGTTAAAGGAGGGAGAAAGAGAGGGAAAGAAACATGGATCGGCTGCCTTTCGCAGGCCCCTGCAATGGGGGGCCTGGCACGCAACCCAGGCGTGTGCCCTGACTGGGAATTGAACTGGGGACCCTTTGGTTCAACCCACTAAGCCACACCACCCTGGGCCTCTATTTCTGCTTTAAATGATAGTATTAATTGTTTGAGCCCCAGCTTCCCTGAGAAGCCAAAAGACTAATTAGCACAGGTGCTAATTAATGATGTTATGCATAATTAATGCTATAGTTAATGATGCTATTTATCATGCTCATGATGAAAGTGACAGCTACAGAGTGCAACAGGGCTGCTCTGCACCAAGCCGTCCGACAGGCCACAGCGGGCCCCCAGCGCGACTGTTCCCCTCACAGGCATCTCCCGGCAAGCGCCAGAGCGGAGATCTGGGCCACAGCACCACAGCCTCATGGCTGGGCTTCCGGCTCTGCTCCATCTCAAATTTGTTTTACTGCTTGAGCAGGATGCAATATGGTATGTGCCTTCATTTCCTCTTTTGTAAAAAGGAGTCAATTTCCAGCACACAGGGTGAAAATTCACAGGACTAAACTAAGGAGCAGGAGGAGGTGACTTCAGGGGAACTGAGTGGCAAGTGCTGTGTTCCTGTAACAGGGAAGCTATAGGCACCGCGCACACCCACCGTCTCTAAGCCCTGCCTGCCGCCGTCTAAAATCCTCTGGGGCCCTGTTCACCAGCTGCCTCCTCTCTGGGACCTTGGGGCAGAGGTTTAGTTCTACTGGGTCAGTGCTGTGCCTGCGCCTCAGGGGACAGAGCCCGGCATGCAGTAGGCCTTCAAGAAATATTTATTCAATTCAGTGTTCAAAAGGAGCTCTGAAGTTGCTTAGGACCCTGCCCCATGGCCTGAGGCGCAAAGAAGGCGCACTCTCAGGAGGCCGTGGTGAGTGCTTTACTGTCGTTGCTATTTCAGCGATGGGTCTTTTGAACAGGAATAGTTCCCGAACCCTCCATTCTCTTCCCCAGGTTGGTGGAGGCCTGGTTGTCAGCTTTCTTACATGGCCTGGGCTGGCTGGTGAGGACCAATTCAGAAGCAACTTGGGAGCTGTTAGCGGAGCCCAGGGCCCAGGAGGAGGACTGGCAGGGGAGGAGGGTGCACAGGGAACAGAACACCGCTCCGGCCACACCTGAGCACAGGTGTGGCCCCAAACCCTGGCGGGGAGGGAAGGAGGGAAGGGGCCAGAAATGCAACTCAGAGCCACCTGCCCTGCGCTCTCCTCTAGGGAGGCACTGGTGGCGGGGGAGCAGCTGCCAGCCTGGCCCTCTCAGACGGGTAGGAGGGCACCCCTGCATGGGAAACTCGCCACGCCCAGAGCTGAATGGCCGTGGATGCATGTGCATGCGTGTATATGCACGTGCATGCATGTGCACAAAGTATGAGAGAGAATGTGGGCATCTGTGTTCATGCTGTCTAGGCCAGGGATTGGTGAAACATCTGTGCCTTTGAGGGCGTATTTATGAGCTCGTGTGTGTTGTATGTATGAAAGTCTGGGTGTATGTGAAGCTTCATCCACACCCTCTGTGGTGTGACATCCACGCAGCAAAGTGGTACAACCCGGACCACCAGAGTGTGAATGATAGACACCTGCTCATCCCCTCAACCACTGGGGAGCTAGGGACAGAAAGGCCTGCACCTCAGGGGCGGGGCCTTCCTGAAGGCAGGGCTCCCTTCGCAGTCTGTGTCTGCGTGCCTCCGGGGATGGCCCCGCACCCTCTACCTGGACTCCCCACTTGGGTACACACACACTAAAAGCTGCCTCTTGGGCCCTTGCGTGCCCCACCCTCATTCTGGACCCACAGAGACAACGGTTTCCACCGACCAGGTCTTTTCTGCCCCTTGGCCTCCTCCCTTCCTCCAGCTGGGAGGCAAATTCCAGGCCTCACTCTAGCTAATGAAGGAAGGAAACTTGGGGAGGTTTTCTTTTGTTACTCAGTGTCTCCCACTTGCCTCATAATGGGACAGAATCCCAGAGGGTCTGAGTGAAAAGGGCTCTCATTCCAGTGGGCAGGGGCTGAACCAGACGGAAGCCCAAGGTCCCGATCCTAGCCCAGCTCCTTCCATACCTCCACTGCCCCTCGGTGGTTCGGGCCCAAGCCCAGCTGTCATCCATCGCACCTGAGTAAGCAGTAGTGCATCTAGAGGGCAGAACGCTAACGAGAGGCCAGGGCACAGGACAGGTCTGTGTGCGGAGGGGCTGGGGGAACCGGCCCAGGGAGCAGGGGGCCCAACCCCCACCTGGGTTCTCCTCCAAGGAGTACTCACTGCTCTCAGCCAGGACAAAGCTGCCACACTCCTGGGAGTGGTTGCCAGACTGGTCTGTCATGTTGACACTGAAAATGTCGTCGGCCATGAAGCGGAACACATCCATGTGGCACGTGTATTTTGTATGCGTGGCATTGTGGGTGGACCGGTGGAGGCTGCAAGAGGTGACCTGATCCTCCAGTTCTCCGTACAGGTCTTGCCTTCAAGGACAGAACAGCCAGTCATGGCTGGAGGCCAGTGGGCTCAGTGTGCCGGCCCAGGGCAGACTCCCAGAATCTTGTGGGGGGGGGCTTCAGGTGGGGCTGGAGGGCACCTGGTCCAGCCATCCCTTTCCCTGGGAAGGCATACCCTCCCCTGAAGCACCCCTGACGGGCTGAGTGCAGGCTCAGCGTGCCCGCCTCAAAGAGACCAGGAACTCACTAGCTCATGCAGAGCAGCGACTCTCAGACGCGGAAATTTGGGCCATTCTTGCGTCAACTGAGCCTAAACCTGTCCCCATCCTACAGCAAGGGTACTAGGCATTTCAGGTCTCCTTCCCACTCTCCTTCCATCCAAAATCCACTGAACAGCTAATAAACACCTGTGCTGAGGACCAAGACAAGAGCCAAATGAACCTCAGTCCCTGCTCTGGGTGAACTTCGAGGGAGGCTGCTCATTTGGGGTTGGGAGGAACGCTCTGGCTTTTTAATTTCCACAAGGCAGAAACAAGGGGCTTGGACGTATGTATAGAAGTTCACCAGTCATTTATTTCCCTACCTACAAATTCAGGCTCTGAACATGACCACCCTCCAGGGCCAATATGGATGTGTGGATTCAGATCTCTGTTAAATGTGCTGTAATAGAAACTTCTCTTGAATAAATGCTCTCCAAGCCCGCAGCCTGGACCACAGTCATGGCTGTCGGTGTTCTCGCCTTGCCCACTCTCCCTGTAATCAATTTCACATGCCTAGCAGCCGGTGCGGCAGGGAAGGGGGGCGGCTTTAAAAATTCTCTGTTACTCCCCTGCCTAAAACTGCAGTGGCTTCTCACCACTCACACAATATAATCTGGCCCCTGCTGACCTCTCATCCCCTTCACTTGTTATTTTCCCCAACATTCATTCACTCCTCATGGTCACACCAGCCTTCTCACTATTCTTCAAACTCACCAGCCCTCCTGACCTCAGGGCCTTTGCACGTGCAGTGCTCGCCGCCTGGAATGCCCTTTCCCCAGTTCACTGGCTGCCTCCTTCTTATCCCGAGAGCGCTGCCCTGACCCCATAGGCCCTCTCTCACATCACTTGCTCTCTACCCTGTGGTCCAACTTCCTGTTCTTTATAGTGCTCATTGTTATCAGAAAGCATCCTGCTGGCTGCTTGTGTGTTTATCACCTGTCCCGCCAGCATTCTCCACTGCAGTGACTCAGCTCCAGGACACCTGCGACCTCATCAGTTTTGGGCTCTGCTAAGTCACTGGTGCTTGCAAGTATCAAGCAGGAGCTTAATAAATGTGTTTCGTAGGAAGGAAGGAAGGAAGGAAGGAAGGAAGGGAGGGAGGGAGGGAGGGAGGGAGGGAGGGAAGGAAGGAAGGAAGGAAGGAAGGAAGGAAGGAAGGAAGGAAGGAAGGAAGGAAGGAAGGAAAAAAGCCAGCTATTCTTTATCCTGAGCAGCCTATTGACAAAGAGTCTCTCCTTGACCAAACACTCTTCGGGTTCCTCTGAACTCTTTCCTCAAGTAGGCCCTGGCTTTTGGGTTTTCTGTGTCTGTCCCTGCATTTTCTACTTTTAGCAAGACTCTTGCTAAGTCAGCTTAGCCAGAATCCCCCACCCTTAACATCAAATTGGGTTCCTCACCCTCTGCCATGCCTGGGTGGTCTGATCCCCCTGGGTTGCTGTGAGCCAGAGCCCTGTTAGGTCAGTTTAGCCAGAAGCCCCCCTCACCCCTGATGTTTCTTCCTAGTCGTTTTCCATCCACTGACCCCATCCTGCTCCTTGGCTGTAAATCCCAGCTTTTCCTTGTTGTTTTCAGAGTTGAGACAAATCTCTCTCCTACCTGGCAAAACCCCATGCAGTGTCCCTATACCTATCATGATGGTCTTAAATAAAGTATGCCCTACCATTCTATAGCAAGTGTCCTGAATGATTCTCTCACAATATGAACTTACAGAGACCCTTGGATTTTAGAGTCAGGGTGCCTGTGTTTGCATCCTAGGTACACTGTTCACTAGCTGTGTGACCTTGGGCAAGTTGCATAACCTCTCTGAACGTCATTGTCCTCACTTATAAAATGAGAGCCATAATCGTGAGGACTGGAGGTGACCACTGTGTGAGTGACAGAGTATGGCCTTTGGAGCTGGACAGGGCTGCCTTGTGCCTCTCCAACTCTTGCTCTGGACAAGTCCCGTGAGCCCTGTGTAGTCATCTGAAAGATGGGCACAGCGACCCCACCTCAGTCTTTCTTGGGGTGAAACCAAATGCTGTTGCTGAAGTTGCTGAGTGAGCCCCTGGAAAGTGGCAGTTTTTATTGCTAAACTACCCGCCAGGCACACAGGAGGTCCAACTCGGCCTGGTCTCCTGCGGTCCTGTCCCAGACCATGGTCCCCTGAGTAGCACCTCTAGGTCTGGTGAGGCCCAGCCACTTACCAGGTGAGGGTGAGTGTGCTGGGGTGGAGTGTCCATGTCTCCAGGATGCAGGTGACGGTCTGGAAGTAATCGGTGTAGCAGACAAGGTCTGAGCAACCACAGGCTGGAGGGCGAGGGGAGAGGGAGGCCTTGGTACAGGGTTGGAAGGGGCTGCAGAGCTCCTCACTCCCTCAGTCCCTCCAGGGCTGGAGCGTGAGTGGAGGCAGGGGTCCCAGGGCAAAGATGAATATGGTGATTCAGGGGTCACTAAGATGTGGGACTGAGGCAAGATTCCTTGTTTGAGCCCCCAAAGTTTCAAGGCTAGCTATGGACATGACACTGCTAACGTGAAACATAATTACCTAAGCAGGTCCCACCTCAGCTCTCCCCACAAGAGCCCTGGGTCAAGCCCCCAGGTCAGCATCCTTCCCGGCCAGCCTCCCTCTCAGGGGGGTGCGTCCTGGACTCCCCAAAGGCAGGGAGAACCTGTACATCCCTGAAGAGTCACTCGTGAATCAACAAGAGCACTGTTGAAAATGCCTCGATCCCTGACCAGGAGGAGCCCTCTGCTCTACAGCAGCTGGTCCAAGCAAGAGAGGACACGGGCCACAGAGATGTCACAAGGAAAGCTCAGGAACCCGAGAAGCCCTTGAATGCTCTTGCCAAGTGTCTGCATCATCCCGCTGCCCAAACCGATACTGCCACCAGCAAGTGACTCACGGATTGCCCTCTTAGACAATTTTGTTGGAAGATTTAACACTCTCCCACCTCCAACATTTATTGCTTCATTTTGTGCTAAAAGTAGAGGTGCAATCATAATATAAATTTTGTTCAATGTTTCACAAAATAAATTGAATACCTTTTAGTTTTGTAAGATCAAGTGTCAACACTTATTTTTTCCACATTATTTACCAGAAATTTGTTCCCCTTCTTAAATGGACTCATTTTTAGTGACTTTTTCCTATTTTTCCTTGACTAAAGACCCAGAGGGGTGGTGTTCATTCCCTTGCTGGACCCCATTCTAGGTCAGAAGCTGGATTCAGAGCCAAGAACACTGCTGCTGAAGAGCCCTTTGGTCCTCTCCACCCACATTTTCTAGACCAGAACACCGCGGCTCCGGTCCTACACCACACCTTCCCTGTTTCTCTCTGTCTGGGCTCCTGAGACTCGCCCAGGAGATCTGATCTGCGCTAGTTCCCCCGCCCGCCGGCACTTGGGGCAGCCACTGCGAATCCACAGCGACCCTCTCTCCCCTGGGCGTGGTCTCCGAGTCCTCAATAGTTCCCAGGCAGCCACCAGGAAGGGATCTCAGTTGGGGGCAGGAATCCTGCTCCGGCGGGGGGCGGGGCGCGCAGGCGCTTCCCTCTGGAAGGAGCTCAGGGCCTGGCAGCAGGGCACAGGGGGCTAGCTCAACACTTCATGGAGAATGGAGGGCTGATTTTGGCAGGACCTCCGCCCAGAGCTGCAGGAGCCTCTGTGTAGCCGTCTCCTCCTAGTTTATATCCCGGTAGTTCTCTTCGGGCTTCAGAACTTGGAGAGGAGCTGCCATTTCTACCTAGCTGGTCTCAAGGCCACCAAAGGACAGGGTTTGTCCCAAACTTGAAATGAAAGATTAAAGAGGGAACAGCAGCCCCAGAACTAGCATGGAGGTGACATTGGGGAGCAGCGGGAGTGAAACACCCACTCACCTGGTTAGTACCCTAACCCTGGGCCAAGATCCCCAGCATCATCCCACGCCCAGCGTTACCAAAGCGTGGCCATGTGACTCACGAGTGCCCCGTGTCGCTATCTGTAAACTGGGGACACAGGACCCCTTGGAGGGTGCGGAGGTATGGGTATGATATCATGCCGCTGCAGCCCACATTCAGTAAAAGCAGCAGCGGCAGGTGGTTAAGAACACAAGAATCAGGCAGGTCAGTGAACTCGTCCCAGTTCAGCCGCGGCTCAGCTGTGTGGCCACGGACCTTTCTCTTATCCTCTCTGAGCCTCAGTTTTCTCAACTGAGACCTGGGCATCACTGCAGTATGGACCTCACGGGGCTGCCAGGAGAAAGGAATGAGATGATGCTGAGCACCCAGTGCATAGCAGGGTCTTAGTGTTTGTGCCCTCGGGGCGTGGAACTGTGGCGAGTAGCCCAAAGGCCTATTAGAGGCAGGACAGAGTGCTGGTCACTCAGAACGGCTAAACAGAGGAGCCCGACATCGGCTCCCTGAAGAAGTTATTCGAGGCTCTGGGCCTTTTAGTTATAACCAGAGAGAAATGCCGATGGTCAGCAGAGCGGGCTAGTCAGTCTCAGGAGCCCAGACTCAGAGAAACAAGGAAGGTGCGTTTGGCCCTGCTACCCCCAGTCCAGCCCCAGTCAAGCCTGTGTGCTGTACCCCACCACCTCTGGGAAGGCTTCCCAGATCTCTCAGCCCTGGCAGTGCCCTCCTGTCTAACTCCCGGCCTTTTCCAGGTTGGTCTCTGACATCGCCTCCTGACTGCAACATCTCCTGATCCTCCGGCACCACCTTCCAAGGTTCGGGCTCCACCCTTTCCCACTGGGGAACATCAGTGCCTGATGAGGGTCCCGTGATTGTTGAAGAAGATCCCCTAGGAAAACCTGAGGCGGGACCAAAGGCAGGACTCCCTCACGCTGAGGCAGAGAGCCACGGGAATGAAGGACACAGCCTCTCATCCCCCGGCGAGATGCCAAGACCCAAGATGGGGGCTGGGATGCTTGAGACCTTCCTAAACAACTTCTGGCTAATGAAGCTCTCTGGTTGGATGGATTCTGGTTCATGGAGAGCTGGCTGCTCCACCTATGTCGGCCAAGAGTGGACACATGCCACAGACTGACCCTGGGGCCTCTAGCCATGACACAGAGCACACCGGCCAGCCCCGCCCTCCCGTCGCAAGTGGTGGGCCAGCTACTCACCACCATGGAGCATCAGCAGGAGCAGAGGGGCGGCCCAGCCACGTGGCATGCTGACTCCTGGGGGCCTGGAAGAGACATACAGCAGAGGGTGGGCCTGGGCCTGGGATCAAGGGACCCCAAACAGCTTACCCCTAACCCCCGTCCCTCCCCTGGAAGAGGTGCCTCAGATTCTTGGACTTGTCTCAGAAAAATAAGATTTTGAGGAGCCCAAGGACACTCCCAAGAATTCCTGCCCCTTCAAAATGGCTGACTTGCCCCATGGACACCTCACCACTTCTCCCACCTTCTTTCTGTCCACCCCGCCAAGTCACAAAATGACAGGTGGATTCAAAGAGGGACAGGCTCACTGCTGTCCCATACACATCTAGTTTGTATTGTGTGTGGAATTAAATGTGGACATCTATGCAGCTAAGAAAGAAAGAGAGAGGGCAGGGGAGGGAGAAAGGGGACACTGGTTTGGAAAGTGATGTTTAATGAGCAGGAATCTTGAGTTCTCCTTCCCATGAAACACGCATGTTGATGTCAGCCCTATAAATTGTCTCCTTACTAAATAGCAAATCTAAGACTCGCCTATAAAGACCCCTACTGAATACCGAAGATAAGGTTAGTTTAATAATGAGCCTTTCACTCAATCCAAATCCCAGGTTAGCCCACTAGGGAGCACACTGGAACCCAGACCCAGCCAGACAAAGGCAGCCTGGACTAGATGTGATGGAGAACAGACCCCTTGGGAGAACAGAGCAAGCCTATCCTGGAAAAGTGGACTTTGGTACCCTGGGCAGGGGAACGACCCACCAGGCTGGCCATGCCAGTCTCCAGCTGGCAGTTTGCCCATCACATCCTCAGTTCTGTGTCTGCCTGGGGAGGTGCCAACCAGGGGCCAGTGTGTCCACCGGCCAGGCTGAGGAGTCCCACCCAGACCACACCCACAGACAGGGGTATAGCTGGAACTAGAGCCTAGAAGGACGACCTGTGCAGGGACCACGTCATAAACATGGCTTCTTCCAGGCACCATCCCTGAGCCCACACAGGGAAGGCCCACCATCCAGATTCCGCCAGCTCCTACTCTGGCTCCATCAAGAGCTCTCTCTGAGCTCTGACCAAGTCACCAAGGAGGCAGCCGCGAAGTGCACAGAGAAGTTCAGATTACCAGCTGTGTGGCCCGGGGCCAGTCATTTCCCCTCTCACAGCCTTGTAGAAAACAGTAAAGCCTACTTCCAAGATTCTTGTGAGAATTCAAGGAAGTGATTTGCAGAAAACCCTGAGCATAGCCCCTGACATAAACACTCAATAACATAGAATTTAGAGCATCAGAAATGGAAGAATTCAAGAATGATCTAGACAAAAGTTCCCCAAATTTTTCACTTTCAAAATGTTGGCCATATTTTGTGTTGGCCACCTATCATGTGTACTATTATTTACTTAATATGTTTTCTATAAATGAAGTCACTTAAAAATTAACTCCAACCTCATCTTAAGCAATCATCTCCATGGCTGTGTATTTTTTCCCAACATGTTTAAAAATGAATAACATTGGTATTAAAATGAGATAATGTTGGGGCAAATTCCATTTGAAGCTGCTTTAAAGAACACTGGTCTTGTCCCACGCCCCGGAGGAGGCCTGCTGCCACACTTTGAGGATTCAACCTCCCATTGCAAGAGGTGGAGCCGGATCTGCCGCTAACCAGCATGTTCACACGTGTGACCCCAGCCCCAGCACAGGGCCTGGCACAGCTCTGTCCCGTTCACACTCCAGCAGCTTCGTCTCAACCATGTCCAGGTTCGAGGCTCCTCCTTCCCCCGACATTCCTCGGTTCTGCATCCTCAGGCTCCAGAGGATGGAGGGGATCGGCTGCTTCTGCCTGCCTGCAATCTCTTCCCCTCTTAGGAGGCGCTCCTGGGGCCAAGAAAGCAACCCACCTTCTTAGCCACAGTGAATGGGTCAGGAATGGACACCAACTCAGGCTAGGCCAATGAGCGCAGTCCTGGGAAGTTTTTCTAGAACTCTAATTAAGAGGTATTTGGGGAGTGCCTACTGGAAGTTGGTACCCATCTCTGTCACCTCTTGCAGAAAGGCTGCCTGAAAATGATGGCAGCAGTGAGAAATATAGAACTGGAGCCCCCACAGCATCATTGAAGGGCCTGGATCCAGCTGTATCTGAAGTCCATACATGGACTTTTCATTGACATAAGCCAAAAAACACATATTTTGCTCAACTGTGTTGAATTCTGCTTCTCTTACGTGCCACCAAAGAAACCTGATACAGTGGGATGGAGCAAAAGGGCCCAGAAGGAAGCCAGAGGGTCTCAGAGCACCTCTGGTCCTTCTGCTCTCTGAGCTCCGTTAGCCTCTGTTCAATGGGGATGGACGGCAGTGCCCAGCACACCTGGCAGTTAAGAAAGCAGATGTGGCCGTGCTCTGTGAACTGTAACTACTAGACAGGGGTGCTGGATTCTTGTTATTACTGGTCTGCTGATCTGAATTACTCACTATCCTCTGAGCACCCCACACCCCACCATGCTTCCCTTCCTTTGTGTGACACAAATTCTCATGCTGCATCTTCTCCTTGAACACCTTTTCCCCTCCCATCACTTGACACGCAGCATTCATGGCCCACACGCTCCGTCCCTGCAGCCATGAGGCCACACAGAAATGTTCCGCAACGCCCAGCACGCACTGCCTTCAGGGTTTTCACCTGTGCTCTCGCCAACTTGCTATTTATCTTTACTTTACCTCCCACTTTTTGCTCCAATAAACACGTCTTAAAAGAAGATGGACTATCACTACCACCGACAGGTACATCACTAGTATGAGATGGAGAGACAGTGTGTATCACAGTAATTAAAACACAGACTTGGGGCCGGCCTGCCTCAGTTCAAATCCCAGCACTGCCATTTTCAGGCTGTGTGACCTAGGGAAGTTTATTTCTGGGCCTCAGGGTCCTCATCTGTGAAATGGAAATAATAATAGCAGTACTTACATCATAAGGTCCTTGGGAGAATTAAATTAGTCAATATTTGTAAAGCATATGCAACAGAGCCTGACATAGTAGATACTATGTATGTACTTAAACAAAACAGTCAACTTGTCATAAAACCATATATAGTGAAATGTAAAAACTAAACACAAGAAAAACAAAAGACAGTAACTGAATTTTAAGAAAATAGTACCCCCTGCCTAATACTCCTAGGGCTTGAGATACTGTTCGCCTTTGTTTAAAAACGGGGATCCAAGGGAGTCAGAGGTGTTTTGGCTACACTAGCACCACACTGAGAGTCTCATCCCCTCCAGCATCCAAAGATCGAAAGACGGTGGAAAAGGGGCCCAGGGATATTTAACCCTTGCACTAGGGTCCAGGGATACTTAACACCATCTGAAATAAGCCACTCACTTCTGGGAAACACCAGCCTCGAACAATGAAGGCTTCCCCTAATGCTCCCACACAACAGAACAGGGACCCCTCCCATCCTGTCGTGCTCCCTGCCCTGAATCCACTTCCTTGCAAATCTTCCCACTGGCTGACTCCTGGGGGCCAGAGCAACTTGCTTCCCAGATGCGCACCAGGCCGCCAGGTGTGCTTCCTGAGCGAAGGGCGGAGGGCGCCCTACGGGGCTTCCGCTACGGGAGCCCTGCAGCGGCCGCCACCTCTGCGGTCTCCTGCAGTGGGGTGAAGAGCGCCTGGCTTGGAGTCTGCCAGGTCCCATCTGGGTGCCCTTGGGCAAGCCCCCGACCCCTCTGAATCTCTGTTTTCTCATCTGTAAGATGGGGGTCATTACTCTTCGCTACAGGTTTGTTGTAAGCACCAAATGCGTCATTGTACAGAAAGCAGGCCGGCACGGTCCTGGGGGTACGGCGCCCTGCAGGGGTGTTCACCCGCCAGGCGCCAGGGCCAGGAAACGATTGCTGCGTTTGTGGGAGTTCAGATTAAAAGCTGACCAGATTTCAGGAGATTCTGGGGACATGGAGAAGCTTGGAGGTAGGAAATCTGATTGAAGTAGGTGCTATGGAGAATATAAAGTGCTTTCTTCACAGTCAATGGAGAAATGCAAATAGAAAGCACAATGACACACCATTTTAATCTTACCACTTAACAAAAACTAAAAGTCTGACATTTAGGCTGAGGACATCGTGTAATGGTAACTCTCATTCACAGCTAGTGGAAATGTAAATTCATACAACTGGTCTGGAAAATAGTGTGGCTTTATCTAATTAACTTGAGTAAGTGCTTGCCCTGGGACCCAGCAATTTCACCCCTGTGTACATTATAGAAGAAACTCTGCCACATGTGTGTTAGAAGCGTATGCGGAATGTTTATGGCAGCATTGACTTTAAAAATGAAAAAGTGGAAACAACCTAAATACCCATCAGCAAGAACATGGGAAGATAAATTTTGGTGTAATCACTCAATATGAAAATGAATCATATCTTCACACCACAAAACAAATGACTCTCACAAACAAAATGAAAAATGAAAAAAAAAGTAAGTTAGAAAAGAACACCAGCTATATCACACTTAATGCCATGTGAAACTGCTCTAGATGAACATACGTGTGTCCTGAAAGTATAGAGAAATTCAAGAGGATGATAAACATCAAATTCCAAATAGTGTAGAGAAGGAGGGGATGTGATGAGGGGTCTCAACAGTTGGTGAAACTGAGTGAAGTTGCCATGGATGTTGTCTGCCCAGGGGGGCAAACGTGGATTTACAGTTGTGAGTGCATAAAACACAGAGATTCTTGTATTATTATACATTAATTATTGTATTATTCTTCATATGAACAACTTTAAACTGACTTTGTCCCACCTTGTATATTATTCTTTACACCTTTTTGTATGACCACACTATCGCATAGCATTTTATATTTTTATTTATTTATTTTTTTCTTTTAAAGTCAGAGACAGAACCAGTGAGAGAGTTCATAGTAAGTTGTTTTGTTTTGGGGTTTTTTTGTCCTCACCCAAAGACATGCTCGTTGATTCTAGAGAGAGAGAAAGTGAAGGAGAGAAAGAATGATATGAGAAACATCAATCGGTTGCCTCTCACTCATGCCCCCACC